TTTGAAAACTTCCATTATAAGAAAAAAAAAACCATTAACAAAAGTTAAAATGAAAAATTCATAATAGATGTAATATATTAAGTTAAAATAATCAAACAAATACAAGCTTTAAATAAAAAACTAGTCGATAAAAAACCAGAACTTGCATCTGAATAGTTCATAAATTGCTTATATAAGAAAACTGGTGTAGTATGATTAAGTTAATTTAAAAATTGGTTTTTATGCAAATCATCTGTGTCTATCTGGTATATACGCCCTGATCTTGAAGATGATGGTTTTTTTATCATAGTTAAAATATGGGGCTTAGGAATCCAACAACAATCATCTCTATTTGGCCAGTGTAACGAAGTGTTAGGTAAATGAGGATGCATGAATTTTACAAGGGCATCTTCATTTCTTTCATCAACTTCAAATACCAAACCAACCCAGTTAAACATATCATATTTGCAGATATAACATTTTCCTACAATGATTTCTTGAAGATATTGAATTGAGCCAGGTTGAATGTTAGATTAAAGTCCTCCTGCTCAGAGACTCTTGACATTTATGATTGTTGCATCCTGTGGAATAAATTGGTGGAAACTTCTTGTACCAGCTAAAGTCTTTGCATTATTCAATCGGAGAGTCAGAGATTTATGGACTGATAAAATATCTTTGCCTTTTAAAAAAAAGAAGTAGATGCCAAATATGTTATCTTTTGAAAAATTTCTTCAGCGCTCTGAATTTGTAAGTCAATTGGACGTTGAAGATTAGCATTTGAAACAAGTCTTTTAACTGTTCCACCAATGCCATCACATGGTGACTTTCCATGTGATGTTGCAAAGAAATTCCATTCACATTCCATCCCAAAATCTTCAACATGATGACATAAATTTAAAAAATGTCCGCAATTTTTGTACTGACCAGCACAACCATCAGAGAAATAGTGGATTTTTATGGTATTGGGAAACATTTCTTGTACAAATTGGACAGTTCTTTTTACTATACAATAAATAAATCCAACATCGTGTGTTAAGTCATCAGATATAAAACATAAAGACGTTGGTTGACTTTTAGTAGAACCCTCATCATTTTTGTTATAAATAACTACAGGATGTACTGTGCATTGCTGTTGGTTCCAGAGGTAGCTCTGGATTTCATCTTGTATGATAAATTTAAAGTTTTCTGCAAAGTCAACTAAAATAATAATTTCATTTATGGGTATAGATGACATTAATGTTTTTAAATATTTACTTTGTGATTTAGCAAAATAAGAGTGAGATGTTATGCTATCAAGTTTTCCACTAAGACTTTCAATGAATTCACTTATTGTAGATGTGTTACTTAGAAGCTCTGCTCTATCTGTTGTACTCCATTGTTTGTATTCAATTGTTTCATCTTCATCCACTTTGTCATTCTCTTCAAATGATCCTTCATTTTGCAATAGATTTGCAGTCATATAATTTATAATATTTTGAATTCCAGGGCATTGATTACATCTATGGACCATACATTCCCTTGACTCTCTGCTACAAACAATCTTCTCAATTAGTTCATGGTAATTCTTCTCCAGTTTAACTGCGCTAAGCATAAGCTTTAGATTTTGGTGTTTTGCGCATATACAAACAGCATGGGTTCCTTTTTGACCAGCATAAATACACCATTTTGGCTTTAACTGAGCAAATTTAGAAAATCCTATTTTGGATTAAGGGTGTTCTAGTTTGAATTCAATAAATAATTCCTTTAAATTGCAAAGAAGTAATCACTTTGATACATGTTTATTTTTGGATACACTTACAAAATCTTTTATATCTGGTAACTGCCTACTAAACTGATCATTACAATAGAAGCTTTCCACCTTATTAATGATATCTGAATCAATTCTAACAATGTTAGTTTTTTCTGGAAGTGTTAATATTCCTTTTTCAAATTTAAGTTTTCTTGCTTTAGTTATGGTTGATTTTGATATATTAAATACTTCAGCTGCTTTCCTTAAAGACCATGAATCTGGAACCAATGTTAAAATCTGAATCTTTCCTCTTCTATTTGCTGTTTTCAGCTTTTCTTGCATTGAAAGTATCAATTTATCTAGATCTTCAGTTTTCTTCTGATTTTCAACATTGGGCTCCCCAGTCACATCATTTTTCAGGTCTGTTGCGTTAACATTGAGGATAACTGATAGCTTTTTTGACATAACATCATTAGCTTGCATTAATTTTCTTTTGCCTAGAGAAATTTTAGCATGTTGTGGAACCCCATGAAATTTTACTGGCGATACATCTAATTTATCAAAACTGGTTTTTATAAGTTCTTTTTCTTGTGCCATTTCTATATCTTCATCAAAAAATGTTTGTTCCAGAAAATCATCTTCACCATTGTGGTCCTGTAAGGTAGACCAATTATCTATTTTTTTACCACTTCTTTTCGACATGAAGGACACATTTTAAAACCAGGTGTTGTTTTAATACCAATTGAACACATATCTTTTGCCAGTTGAATATCAATTTCTCGCAAACCACCTATAAATATATTATAAATGAATAAAATTCGCCAAAATTAGGAAATATTAATTTAGATAATATAATAATGTTAGGAATAAAATAAAAAAATTTTTTTAAACTAATTGAAAGTGTACTAGATGTATTTTTTGTAAAAAGACAGCACAATAAGTTAAAAACATAAAAATTTACCATTTATATTAGTTTTATGCTTTTTAAATGGGTCGATGCAATTTTTTTGGGAGTTAGCAAACCGGTTAAGTAAAATTTGTTCATGATGTAAACAGATTTTAACATTAACATTTAATATTGATAGCCCAGATCTCCATAATAATAAATTTCTATCTTTCTCTGAATAGCTTGATAAATCTTTCAACCCAATTGATTTAGTGTACACCATTTTATGACATTGATCATTTAATAGAATACCAACTGTACATAAAATCTTGTTCATTTTATTTTTTTCAATTTCTTATTGAGCTATAAATAAACACAAAATGCACAGACATATTTAATACATTTTAATACATTTATTAAAAATGGAAAAAATATTTACCATTTATAATTAGTATTTTTAAATATGTACAATATATAGTATTTTATGTATTTATTTTTTTAACTTTGATTTTATAATTTTTTTTTTAAATTAATAATTAGCTGTGGAGAACAAACAACAGCTGGTAAAACATCAGACTAATCAGACTAAGTCTTAGGGTTATAAATATTGAGTTTTTCTTCTGTTTTAGTCAAAGATGACATAATATGTCATTAATTAGAAAGCAAAAATTTATTTAAAAAAGAAATAATTATTTGAATTAAAGTTTCTTTGAATAATAGGTTAAAAGGATTTCTTTTGTATAATATTTTTGATAACTAATGAAAATTGTAAATGTCAATTAATTTAAAATAAAATCATTAACACAGACCTACTTATTTTTTCTTATAATACTCCTATATTTTTACAAAAAATTTCAAAAAACTCACCTCTACATTTTGCACCAAAAAACTCATTAGAATATCTATTTAAATAAAAACAAAAACAAAAATCACAAAAAAATAATGCTACCATGGTTACCAGACCTCCTTTTTGCTTTTGTTAATATTTCAAAAATAACTGTAGGTGAAGTACAATCGCCGTATTGATATAGTTCTAAATATTCTCATTAAAAACAAATATTATATTCTGATTCCTCGTCCTAATAAACTATAATGGGACTCATTTTCAGCTTAATTACATGTTTAGTTAAACAGTAACTTTTAAAACAAAAACTATAGTAAAATCAAAATAGCTGCCGAACAGAAAAAACTGCTAAAAATAGCTGATTTTAAAGTAACAATAACTCTAAAGCCCCTTTGATGGCAGTGCTAAAATTTTGCAAGGTAGTCTATGTTATATAAATGACCATTTTTACAAAGTATGAAGAAAATCTGAGATGGTGGGTTACATACCTGTCTCACTTTCTCATGGAATACCTCATATATATAAATATATATATATATATATATATATATATATATATATATATATATATATATATATATATATATATATATATATATATATATATAGTTTTGTAATCTTTTTTATTTGATGACACAGTGGCTCAATAGATGTTCTTTATCAAGCATTGATTAGGACAGGTATATTTATCGACACAGTTGCAGGGTTTTTCCTTAATTGTTACATGGTTATGAAATAAATGTAAAGTACTACGGTTGTGTGAATGATGGGTGTTTAGCATACATGAGTAGATTTCTATTAAATATCCGAAGTTTGTGACCAACCAGAAAGTGGAGATCAACTATTGAATTTGTTCTCAAAAATAATTTTACTACCCAAATTACTTTTTGTACCTTATTAATTACTTTATCCTATCATTTTATTTTTTTAAATAAAATGATAGGATAAAGTAATTAATAAGGTACAAAAAGTAATTTGGGTAGTGAAATTATTTTTGAGAACAAATTCAACAAATCAAAACTGAGATAAAAGTTTTCTTTTTTAATTTTATTCTATTTTTATGCTTTTATGTTTTGCATCTAAGTTATACATCTGCAGTTATTCATCTACTTATTAGCATATTATAATATTTTATTCAAGTACATTAATTATGGGTATATTAAAAATATTTTATTGTTTTAATATTTATTTTTTAAGATATATATATATATATATATATATATATATATATATATATATATATATATATATATATATATATATATATATATATTATATATATATATATATATATATATATATACATTTATATATATTGCTTCCCCATCCCAAACCCTCAGTCGATGTAGCTGCACTCCACTGCGAGTCAGGCTATTTGTCAGTTGATGTATGTACTGAAGCCCCCAGCAGCAGGCTATTTCAGTATGACGTCAGACGTGCTTACCATAGTACGCAATACTATTTGTATATATATATATATATATATATATATATATATATCTTAAATAAAATAGATAAAGTAATTATAGTAGATTAAATGCTTCTGGATTTTTTAACTTTAGTAATGGTGTTTGTGAATCACTACTATGCATTCCAATATTTTTCAACTATTTACTACCAATTTTCAGAGGTATGTTCTAAATACTAACAGTTGATTCAATTAAATTGAAATAATATTTTTTTTATATTTGAAAAGTTTCAAAAATATGACAACTTCAGGTTTTAGCTTATTTTACTCTTTGTCAATGGATGGTTCCATTTGCTTTTTTTGTATCATTATCAGTTAATGAATCAACCCTACCAACTACAACAACATATGGTAATTTTTTTATTTATTATATTAAATAATTCATATATTAAATAATTTATATATTAAATGTTAAAACAAATTTTTTACCTTTCATTTTTAGAAACTCAATCCTATAATATGAATAAATCAAAAAGATCTGGCATTCTTGGTATTTTTGATTACATAGCACAAAAGAAATATTTATTGAAAGACTATTTTTTACAAAGAAAACATATTTATTAAAAAAAAAAACATTTTGCTGTTTACTTTTATTTTGTAATGTACAAACTAATAAACAACGTTGTTTCTTTTTGTTCATAGTTTAATTGTCAATAACTCTTGTAGAGTTTCATTATGTTCTAATTGTTGTTAGTCATATTCTTGTTTTACTTAAGGATGAGAAATTTAAAATAGGGCTCTGAGTGTCAAATATAGATTTTTACTTTAACTTGGAGCTCCAAAATTGTTCACAAACTTCAAAATTCCACAGAAAAAAATGTTTAAAAATAAAAGCAGGATCCTAAAATTTTTTTTTTTTTTCCTTAGGGTTAGGGTTTTCGACTGACAACATGACACCTCAGAAACTTATGTTTTATTTATTTGTCATTACTTTATAAAAAGTTTTGAAAAAATATTGTGAGCACAATGTTGGTTTGATTGAAATGTAAAAAATAATGTTTTTTGTTCAATGCAAAAGTGTGCACCATCTTGTTTTTGTTTACATTATATATTTTTACACAATTTGTTTTTATGAATTATTTCTTCTTTAGTTTCTGTAAATAAAAAATAAAATTTAAGAAAAGAAATAGTCTAAAAAAAAATTTACTTTTTTTTGTTGTTGTTGTTGTTGCCATTATTAACAGTATATTCTTTTTAAAACTAGCATGTAAAATAGTTATTAAAATGTTGTTATGGAAACGAAAGGTTCCCACTCTCCGTAGTTTAGAAATTTTCTCTCAAGCAAAGTACGATGGAGATAATGATGATGATGCTAATGATGAACCTAAAAGAAAAAATGTTTGCATAAAATCTATAAATAAAAAAAATATTGTTGAAAATGTAGATGATAAAGCTTCAAGAAGTAATCAATGTGTAAAGAAAGGAATTGTTTTAGCAGAAACAGGAAGGTATAAAATTACTAAGCATTTAAATAATTAATTGTTCTCTTTAGCATTTATTTTATAAATTATAATTTGTAATTTATAAGTCATAATCAACATTTATCATAAATGATCTGCACTTTGTTTTTATAACATAAATTGTTTGCACTTTTTTTTATAAAGGAAAAGGAAATTTTCTTTTAATGCACATATACATGCACACATTAAAAAAATAAAAAAACATAAAAAAACACAAGTGTAAACAAATAGGATCCTTAGCCTTTTGCAAAAATCAAATTTTTTTAATGCTTATATATAGGTTATATATGCCATTTATGCTTGTTTATGTATTTTAATGTCTTTTATATGCAAATTTTATCTGCGCACTGCCTGAAATCATAGTTATGCTATGCACTTTAGTCCTGCCAACGAATATTGTATGACATCATCAGTAAAGTATATATATATATATACATATATATATATATATATATATATATATATATATATATATATATATATATATATATATATATATATATATATATATATATATATATATATATATATATATATATATATATATATGTATGTATGTATATACACACATATACAGAATGTAAACCATGTCCACTTACTTCAATGAGAAAAAGCAAAAAAAATAAAAATGGCCTTTATTCCATAAAAAAGAGGCCTATAAATGTTGATGTCAGTATTAATATTAAAAAATCCAAGTTCTTTCTTATAACCATTTATATAAAAATATTTTAGGAAAATAAAACGCCAAAAAGTTACAAGAAAAATTAAAAAAAAAAAAATGGAATAAACCTAGCAAGTTGAATATTTAGAAAAATATTCTCAATGTGCACACAACAAAAAGCCATCACAGTGGATTTTTGATCTTCTTTTATGCAACTCTATATGCAGCTTTTTAGTTACGAGGTGGTGCAAGCACCACTTTTGATAAAAAAAATTTATTAATAATAAAAACTCTGAACAAGTGACAGACATTTGAAATTGGTATTTAAACTATTGGTATTTAAACTTTAAATGTAAGAGTTCTTGCAAAACTTATTCAGAAAAATTGTAAAAAACTTTAACTGTTATATAAAAGTTCTTTTTAACTAATTTTAATGAAGGATTTGATATATTAGTATTATTACTATTATTGTTTTATAAAATTATTTCCAATAAACATGATTTGGTCAAATTTTTAAATTGTTTTATTAACAGTTAGGTTCTAGAGGTTATTTAGGCCACCTAGCCACTTAGGTATTAGGCCCTACTTAGTTATTAGGCCACCTAACAAACCTTTTGTCCTCTAAAACACAATATGCATAATTTTACTAATTTTTTTGATTACTGTGTAAGATATTCATTTTTACATGTAGGTTTACTGTTTTGTTTAATGAAGTGTGGATATATTATAAGTTATTATCGTTTTTCTAAGATACCCTCAATGGGTCTCTTTAGCCTTACGAAAGGATATTAAGGCCCAGTTCAATAATACTATAAAATATCAATAAAAACTATCTTATTGAGAATTTTTAATTAAGTGTTATTTAAACAAATAATATTTTTTGAAAGCTCATTAATAGCAACAAAATGATATAAAATAAGGCATTTAAATAATTTATTTCACACAAAAAAAAAAAACATTAAAGGTGTATTTGATATTATTAACTTCAACAAAAACATATACATAGGAATTTTAGAGGTCACTGGAATTCCAATTCAAATTCTAGTTATCCTAGATACTTATTCTTTTTCATGAATCAATGAAAGTTTCCTCTTTAGACTTTCCTCCTAATGACCTTTTTATCAGATCCTGAAATAAGATGATTCTTGAGTGTTCTCTAGGGACACCAAATTTTGTGGCAACTTCCTTTTTAGATTGTCCACTTTTAAAGGCTTTAAGGGCATCTTGCAGCTGGCTTTTTGTCCATTTTGTTCTATATGGTGTCATTATTTAAACCAAATTTGAAAAAGTTGACTGAAATTTAAAATAATAATTTTAAATTTCAGTCAACTTTTTCGAATTTGGTTTAAACAATGACATTATTACAAGTACTTAATGTTATTAAAAAAGCCTATAAATTAATATATTATACAAGACTTCTCAGGAGACGTGTGGGGTTGTACATCTTATATGACCATGCATACAATTATTTTTTTTAACAACTTAGCAGTGTTTTTTGCATATATTAATAATTTGCTTGTTTTAAAAAATGGGCTGAAAATACCAAACTTTAAAGAAAAGCGTTTCAATTAATAGTTAAAAGCTAATAATTTTTCCTATATCACCATGTTGATGTAGGTCATAGGTTGATTTAATTGTATCAATTATGTGGCCTGGCTGTTATATCGGCATTGATTGAGGGTTCAAACCCTACTAATGGAAATTTTATTTTATTTGCTTTGTAGACATTTAAAAAGTTTTAAATTTTTAAGTAGTATTTAAGATTGGATAAAATTTAAAAGTTTTTTCTAAATTCTTTATAGTGAAACAGTTTTAAGTTAAAATAAAAACATATTAATTTTATGCTTTTATTTTTTCTGGTTTATTTTTTATTAATTTTATCATTCGTTAAGATTTTAATTTTTTTAATATAGTTTCATTTTTTTTTTTTTTAGTTTGTATTTATCTTTCCAGTTAATAGTTTGTTTATTTTTGATTTTATTTTAAGTCTACATTTGTTTATTCAGCAAGTTTTTAAAATGGGCTAACTTAAAACAAAATATTATATGCATGGTCATGTAAGGTGCAACCGCACAGATCTCTTTAAAAGACTTGATTATTATAGTACAATTAATTACATTATAGTATAAAGGCCTGGTTCCCATAATGTGTTATGTTTATACTTAATTAAAGTGCTTTTTAATATTTGCTAGAATAGTGATGTGATCGTTATTAGCCATTACCAACTTGCCACACACAAAGTCTAGTATATTTTTATTTGACAATTTGCACTTAATTAGGTTAGTAATATTAACTAAATATTACCTAATCATAATACATGCAGTTAAAGGAAATACGTTATCAATTATTTGAAATATGTAGAAAATTATATACCTGTAAAGTTAGATGAGAGCTCAGAAAAGAGAGGTTGTCCAAGATATACTTCATTAACATGCAAACCTTAACAGAAATATAACTTTTTATAGCTGCCCCTGGTCAAGCCCCATAACTCCAATATTTAATAGGAGAAAAAAAGTTTTGAATTTTATCTTTTCACTATAATTATATTAGTTATTATATTATATTTATCTTTTTACTCGCCGAGTCATATGCCTTCTGGTATTTTATTTTTGCTTGAGTAATAATAATTTTTTTTTTCAACTATATTAGAAATTTTAATCATTAATTTTCATTTTGCATAACTTTTTCAAAAATTTGAAATTACTCGGAAAGTTCCTTGTTACCTACGATCGGAAATTGTCTGTATAGACTAAATACAGGATATTTAACACACTAATATATACTAGCAGTAAGCAACCCGTAATACGGGTTAGTAGTAGATAAATCATTACTAAAAATTTGATATTTATTTACTTTCTCTAATAAAATATAAATTTATTTATACAGAAAGCAACCCGTAATACGGGTTAGTAGTAAATAAATCATTAGTAACAATTTGATCTTTATTTACTTTCTCTAATGAAATATAAATTTATTTATACATTTTTTTAGTTGAGCTCACTTTTATTTTTCTTGGCCTCTTAGTTTAAGAGAACTTTTAGCTTCATTAAAGATAAAGTTAACCATTTCTTTTGCAATGTTCAGACATTGAATGCGCAAATCACAACCATGTAGTAATTAAAAAATGACTTGAATTATATGCACAAAACATCGATGTCAAATTTTCAAATTCCGTAAAATTGTTTAGGTAAATATTGGGAATATATTCTACTCTCAATTTTGCTTTAAGCTGAGTCGTTTCTTTTTTTTTAAACTTTTCATTTTAATGAGTGAAGAGCTTAAAAATATGTCACTATCGCACCTAAACTTTTTAGTGTTATTAATGTACTTCTTAAATATTTTTAAAACATCTAAAATATTACACCAAAACTTGTAGGCATAGAAGTTGGATATCCGGAAAAACTATAAATTGAAAAATATATCGCATTTCCGAAAAGGGCTTAGCCCTGCATACGGATCCTATATTATTATGATAAAGATTATTATTAAACCAACCTTTTTTTAATTAGTAATCCAGCAGAAACTTGTTTATAAAAAAAAAAATAAAGGAATATATGGATTTACTTTAATAGCTAACGTGTATCAACATATTTATTTCAGCATACATTCAATCCATATTTATACTAATTTTATAAAATGTCCGGAATACATTTTGCCTTTACTTGGCGTTAAATTATTATTTTTATTTCATTAATTTGCAGCTGTTCTTTTTGGTGTTGTTCAAAAACGTAATTTTTATGTTGGCTTTTAGTAAATTTAAAAGACATCACAACGGATTTAAAATAGTCATAATAAAAAAAGCAAAACATAAAATGCTTTAAGGAGCCAAACTATAAACATAAAAGATGAAGAATGGAATCAAGATAAATAAATTGTATTTATATAGCTAAATATATTGCCTTGGGTTTTGGTAAATTTTAAAAGCAGTGAGTTCAATAAATGAAACATACCAAATAATTGTTTTTAACAAAAGAATGCAGCATCATTATATTATGATAATTAGATAATGAATCAATTCAACTTTCGACTTTAGATTTTAGGGAGGGGTATTTAAGAGGGCTTTAAATTTGAAGTCAGGTTTAATTGGTGAGAAAACAATTAAAATTTTCATTAAAAAAGATCAAAACAAATCAAATATACAACGTAATATATATTTAAAAAAAAAAATTACAAAATTAAAAGGAAAAACACCGAAACAAAAAGTTACAAAATTAAAAAAAAAAAAAACCCGAAGAAAAAGCAGCAACTAAAAAGTCATAAATATCTCTACTGATAGAAGACATTTACAACCTTTTGGTTGCTGTTTTTTCTTCGGTGTCTCCCAACA